CTTATTTGTATGGGCCGTAAAGCATTGTTAGTAATAATAGCAAACGGAAGCAAGCTAGCATGAATATTTTAATGAATATTGATATATATGTAATAGAACTATGATTAACGAGGAAAAAAGCAGATCAAGAAAATAACTCAAACCAGTTTATCATTTCAACATATTTTCTCCATTGATCTTTCAATTTCATTATTTGGCAGCTATGGTTTTCGCTTATTCAGTACCTTTAAGTATTTCAATTGATCATTTATTGTAACAGGTGTTCCGCATGGATCGATACTAGGTCCCCGATTGTTTATATCATGCGCAGAGCACGCAAGAGTTGGGATATAATTAAAGTAAAGTGTTATATAACAAGTAAAGTGTGTATATAACAAATAAAGTGTGTAAATAACATGTAATGTGTATATAACAAGTAAAGTGTGTATATAACAAGTAAAGTGTGTAAATAACAAGTAAAGTGTGTATAACAAGTTAAGTGTGTATATAACAAGTAAAGTGTGTATATAACAAGTAAAGTGTGTATATAACAAGTTAAGTGTGTATATAACAAGTAAAGTGTGTATAACAAGTAAAGTGTGTATAACAAGTAAATTGTGTATATAACAAGCAAAGTGTGAATATAACAAGCAAAGTGTGTATATAACAAGCAAAGTGTGTATATAACAAGTAAAGTGTGTATATAACAAGTTAAGTGTGTATATAACAAGTAAAGTGTGTATATAACAAGTAAAGTGTGTGTATAACAAGTAAAGTGTGTATATAACAAGTAAAGTGTGTATATAACAAGCAAAGTGTGAATATGACAAGCAAAGTGTGCTCTAACTTAACTGGTATATAACTTATACTAATAAAAAAAATCTGATTCAAACGATACATTTAAACCAATTGAATTTTATAAAAATAAATCTGTTTGCTTTTTGCAGAAGAGGGCTGTTGGTGGTTGGGCCAGTCCCTACCGACCAAACTCTCTTACTGCATAAAGCAATAGTAATTGACATGATGAGTCGATGACACAACATAACAAAATGGAATGTAAATAGGATTTAAGTCAAATGTATAATGATTTTGAATAGTTCAATTGACAAATTTTAACAAGTTTTATTTAAATTAATTGTTACTTGCAGGTGAGGGCTTGTGGTTGGGCCAATTCCTACCGATCAAACTCTCAGACTGCATATAAAGTAACAATATAGTATACTTTAATAACAGTGTTTATTATAATATTTGAATTAAGAAGTAATAGAGTATATCACTGAAGTCTCGCTATTACCCTTTCACAAAATCACATTTTTGTTCCGATCTAAAATTTGATGTCAAATGTTGTTTGACCAGAATTTTGAATCTGTGTTAGTTCTTGGTTGCCTTAATATTATCTGGTAATGCATTCCAGTCCTTTATTGCATTATAAGAGAAAGATGTGGACTCTACCCCACTTATATTATTTTTATAAAAGTTATATTGGCTTGATCTTGTACACCTCTTGTTGTTCGATTTTTGGAGATACCCTCGTACCAAGATGAGCAAGCATAGTAAAAATGACATTGGATAAGTGCCGAGCAGAGTGTTTTTCTTGATGACAGAGATAGACTTTTTCTGGTTCGGTATAAAAAAAAATAGTCTCTGATTAATTTTCTGTATAGCATTGTTCACAATATGGTGTCCTGAAAGAATCTGGTCTAAGATTACACCCAAATATTTTACATGTGGTTTGGACTCAATAGTATGTCCATTGCATTTAATATTAACACAATTTGAAGTCCAATTTCTCAATTTTCCTTTAGGACCAAATAGGACACTTTCTGTTTTCCCAAGATGAAGTGAAAGTTTATTATCTACAAGCCAATCGTGGCAGGATTGCGGTGTTTTGGATAATTTATCTGATATTATGTTCGGGTCTTTGTGTGAAAAATGTATAGCACTATCATCTGCATATAGTAGGAGTTTGCAATCAGAGTCGATACTTATCTGCATGTCATTAACATACGTTAAAAATAAAAGTGGGCCTAGTATACTACCCTGGGGTACCCCACAGTTTACATCTTTCAGTGTTGGAATTTGTTTTGTTAACATGAACAAGTTGTTTTCTTTGCATGAGACAAAATTTAAACCATGCAATAGACTCAATACCCATACATTTAAGTTTTTTACAAAGAATATCATGGTCAACTGTATCGAATGCTTTTTGTAAATCTAAAAGTATCATGCCTGTACAAATACCTTTAGCTGTCTGTGATTTAATATCGTCTACAAGATGGATGAGGCAAGAATCAGTTGAATGAGATGTTCTAAATCCCGATTGGTGTTCATATACTAAGTTATTCGAAATAAGGTATGTTTCCAGTTGTTTGTATACTGCCTTCTCAAGTATTTTTGATACAATACAGAGAATACTGACTGGTGGATAGTTTTCAGCCTTTAATCTGTCACATTTTTTAATAGAGGTTTTACTTTTGCAATTTTCATTCCTTCAGGGACTTTACCCTCAGATATAGATGTATTTATCAGAAAAGTTATTGGATTTTTTAACACTGATGCTGCATCTTTAAGAAAGCGAGCAGGAATGCCATCCAGGCCTGTACTTTTAGCAGTTTTAAGACTGGGTTTTCTCTTTCAGTAAAAGCCTCTAAATAAATAAGAAGTAGAACTGTAAATTCCCTTTCAGCTTGGCAGTCTTTCCACAGATTTGGCAGCAATAGTTGTAAAATATAAGTTAAAATAATTGGCAATAGAAAATCCATTAATTTGAGATTAATGCTATGCCGAGGCTCAATGAAAATGACCGCCTCCGGATTATTGGTATGCTTAAAGCTGGTATGGGCCAAGCCGTTGTCTCTACACGTTTTCATGTCCATCGAAACACAATCCGGGATTTGTGGAGACGACATCAACAGTTTGGCCACGTCGGCGATCGACCTCATGCGGGACGTCCACGTGTGACGTCACGTCAACAGGACAACCATATTCGGCTTGTCCATTTGAGAAATCGTTTCCAAACGGCAAGTTTGACTGCACGGACAATCCCTGGGTTGCTACTAATAAGCCCAAGAACTGTACGGAACCGATTGCGTGAACGAGCTATCCGTCCGCGACGTCCTGCAATCCGCCCAGTTTATCTGCCACGTCATCGTGTAGCACGTCTGGAGTGGTGCAGAAGGCATCTGCGATTTACTCGACGGGATTGGGCAGGCATTTTGTTTACGGACGAGTCGCGAGTCCACCTGGATAGTAGTGTACCGACGCGTTGGAGAACGTTTCCGTGACGCGTGAGTGGTACAATTACTTTCTTTCGGCGGAGGCAGCGTTATGATTTTGGGCGGCATCACAGCCAACAGCCAACGGGAGAGCCTCTGGTGGTTGTTAACGGGAATTTGAACGCGATACCTCCGAACCCATGTCGTTTCATTCGTGCAAGGGCAGCAACGTCACATTACGCTACAGCAGGACAACTCCAGGCCACACACAGCTCGTGTCGCTATGGACTTTCTGGCCCAGCAGAACGTTGACATGTTGCCCTGGCCTCCGGTATCCCCCGATCTGTCGCCCATTGAACACGTCTGGGATGAAATGAAGCGCAGATTACGGGCATTACCTAATCAACCGGTGACGTTGGCTGATTTGCCTGCAGCGTTGGTACAGATCTGGAATGCCATCCCACAAGCATTCTTGAACAGTCTAATAGGCTCCATTTGTCGACGTTGCCAGGCTTGCATTCAGGCAAACGGTGGACATACGAGGTATTAACTTTGTGAAGTCAGTATTGACCCCTGCTGTGTTTACGTCACACCTGAGCGGAACTTATTGATTCCATAACGTGGAAAATGGATTGCAACTGTTAATAAATAACAAATAAATTGTCCCTGAAAACCTTGTTGTTCTACGTCATACACATTTATTTTTTAATTATAACACATTTTAGGCATGCAGTTTCTTTTTTCCGCTAGTATAGATGATATTGATTTCCAGATCTTAATATGCTGCATACATCCACAACTCTTTCGTGTACAGCTCATTTGTCAACCGATTTATAGAAAAGCTCGCCATTAAACTAGAATTTCATTTCTTGCAATTACCTCGACTATTTAAGTGAACGCTAAGCTAATACATCAGATCTATCAATTTCTACAGCGGCGTCTCCTCCTTCAACAAGTCCGTCCCCATACAATAACAACTAGCAGGTGCTTTCAGGAGCCATCAACTTTAGTCATCATTCGGCTTGCTCTAAAAATTCACGTATTTTGTAAACCTCAAAACTGGAGGTGGAATGTTCCATTTGCTTTGTAGATCGAGTCACAAGTCCCATGATAGGAAGTTTATGATAACGGTTGGGTTTCTCTCAATGCATTTAAGTTTTCTTTCAGTTCTCCAGAAGCTCGAATTTGGTGCAAGCTTAACAGCAGATTTCACAGGAGAATCGATGAACAAGTTATTTGGTAGGAAGGCATTTCTTACTGTGAAACATTTAATGTCCCAAGGTTCGAATTAGAATTGTTTTACACACTGCATGTACTATACTAAATAACTCTGGCCTTGGTTGACTTCCTCATCCATTTTTTTTTTATTGTGAATCAGGGTTTCTTGGTTTCAATTACGTACTAACAGCGTAAAACTTTGTGGTAACGTAATTGTTCACCGTTCCTATCAGATGCTATTCCGTTTAAATGAAACAAAAAAGTTTACAATTAAATGTCATGTTGTTTCCGTAAATCCGTTTGATGCGACATGCTTCAGGTATATTTATTAAGTTAAAGCACTCCTATAAAATACTTTTTAGTCCGTCGGTTTGTCTCGAACAAGTAGAATCGTCACACATGTTTCGATGAAGCTCCGTATGTTCACTGCAGCCTATTTGAGATCGTGCCCTGTTGTTTTAAAACACTGAAGTGGGCGTAGCTTTTTGTTCAAGATGACTTTCATAAAGCAAGTACAATATATCCAGTATAACAATAATGGACAATCAATGCCAACACAAATGGAAAACCAAGAACACATTACCGCAAAGAAATGCATTTACTTTCAACAATGATGAACACATTTATAGTTATATTATAGCAAAATATTTTCAATAGTTAACAATGATGAACACATTTATAATTATACTATGGCAAAATATTTTCAAAGGTTAACAAATGCTGAACAAAGTTAAATCATGACAAACAGTAACATGGCAACATGATCTTTGGTAGAAAACATCAACAGTTCTCAAGTTACACGACATCAAACGAAAAGGATTGATCCAAATTTTTGCAATAAAACATTTATATGCTGTTGAATTGATATTATTTCATAACGAAAATGATATTTTTCAAAGAACCATTTTAAGATATGGTTTCTCGTGCATGTGTTTGAATAGTTTTTGCAAAAACTTTCAGAATCGTTTTTGTTTATGAATTTTAGAACAGTACTTCACATACGACTTCGCATATGTTGATGTATTCTAAACCATGTCATACTAACAGGATATGATATACCCTTATTACACTTCAACTAAGTTGATTGTGACGTAACTATACAACGCTGACATGAATGTGATGTCTAAAACGTCCAATCAGACTACTAATTTGAAGTGCTCTGGCAATCTACCTTTTCAATGAAGAAATTGTATTGGACTATTCGACTTTAAACAGTGGCCATATTGTCAGTTCATTTTCTAGTAGAGAGTGGTAACAAGTCAGTCTTTTTGGTAGGTTTTCAATGCATGGAAATGTGAAGGTCTCGTGAAGTGTACTATGTAGCACAGGACGTTAACTTAAAAGAGATGAAAGTGTGTACACAACTTTTTGGAAAATACTTGGAAATGGATTTGGGCATATTTATTTCCAATCACAGCAACACATTAGATTCATATTGGTCTAGGGGAAATAACCCTGTAAGCTCAAGATTTTACGGCCAGAATTGATCAAGGGGACTTTTTGCAGTGATTATGGCCATCTTACTAACTTCAAAACTCCCTTAAACACTTGTGAAATACACAGAATTTAAAAGTTGTCCTCGAATACACGATCAATTCAATTTTAATCAGAAGCCACCTCATTACAGCAATATATTTCAATGAGTGGCTTTTTCTTAATTTCTTTATAGATCACTTAATTGGTGTCAATAAAACAATGTTAAATAAACTAGTTACTATTAATTACTCATATGTTTGTCAACATAGGCCTTGATATCTATAGTCATTATGTTACAAATGCCTGTCTGAAGTACAAAAATATAATCAGTATTATATAGCGGAAATCTACTGTCTACAACAAGCTGTTGGCAGTATTTAATATATACCAATGGAACAAGGGTACATGCAACTGAAAGAAGACTGTACTAGAACTACTTCAATCATGTGCAGGTCGACTCTGATCCATGAAGCATTGTGACAATATGTCTGCTTTACAACAGAACCTTCTAAATATGGGGAACTTCTGCTCTAAAGTAGAGTCCCAACAGAGTTAACGTTACATTACATAACTTAAAAGTTATTTAGGGGAGCTCATTTTCTGGATAAACAAAATTTAACTGCAGCCAGAAACTAGTAATGTTGGGCCACTTTCATGTATCCAGTTCAACCAGCTTGTCTGTTTTTCAACATTACAATTAGGGCAATAGTCATCACCTCAAAGATGGGGTTGTTGGAAAATCTTCATTAGTGTAATAGAAAAGTTATTTCTGTTAATTTTTATTTTCATAATTAAAAGGATCGTTCCCTGTGACAACATTTTTTTACTTTACTTTTCAAGTGTTTACTATACTGTTAAAGTTTGCAAAACATTTTAGATTTCAGATTATGAGCAAACACGTGTAAAAAATGCTTGTAAGTGTAGTAATCAAATTCAAATTACAGGCTTATTTCTTATTTATGGCAGAATTCTCACTATGCTACTACTTTCATTAATATTGCATTTATAAGCAAATTAACTGCAATGAACAGATAAGCTAATATTTCTATGAATTTCACAGATCATTCATATGAAGACCTACCTAACTGAAAAAGAAGCTTACATTGTATCTATGATCCAAATTAACAACAATATTATGTTTCATGATTTCATGTCAATATCAAATATAAATGCAACAGTTCATGACAGGCGAGATAGCAGCAGAGATAACAGGACCAATGTCTATAACACTGTCCGGTATGAAGAATTGTACGCGTACAACGAATGATGAATGTGAAACACAAGGCTACATTGTGTGGTGCAGAAATATTCCACGATAAACGAACGCACTTGGACCGTTCAATAAGCAGAGCTAAAAATGCACAGTTTTGGAGACTAAAAGACAATGTTTCATGAATATTATGCCCTTCTTTCACGCGTAATGCATCTTGAAAATTACATGTGGCTTGACATTGTTTTAGAAAGAAAGAACCCAAACTAGCAATAGTCAGCACTTTAGTTTTGGTCAGTTTTGGACCCCTCAATCTACATGTGCCAAATTTTCCTGAGGTCAGCCTCGGATCAGATCTGTGCCTGTCATTTTCTCTACAGGTTCAACCGGATACACGAATGTACCCTAAGAATTATTATATCATTGACTAATATATATGAACAACATCTGCATTGTCAGTTTTACGCCTTTTAGCAGCAGGTTGTTTGGCAGTGGATTTTCTTTTTCTACGCTTTCGTCTTTTCTTTGCACCCCTTTTCTGGACCCTTGGTTTTTTCTGTGCTCTATTCTCGAAGCGCCGCTTGGCATTGTCAAACTGGTTTATAAAACCCTCCGGGTTCTCCTGAGCATTTATAGGAACAAAGGTTTTGAGAGGAGAGTTTGCAAGTTCTGCCAAGCTCCAGTCGCCAGGTAAGGCATCCGACTGACTGGTCCTGCAAGTGGATTGTTTTGATTGGCTAGTTTTATGTAAGGGTTTCTGTGATTGGCTGGTTCTGACTATCGGCTGTGATGGTTGGTCCCAATCTGATGAAGACGAATCACTGTAACTGGCACTGCTGTCAGTCTCAATATTATCAGACAGTCTTGCACTGATATGTTCCATGTTTTCTCTTCCAGTTTTTCCCCTGAGAAATAGCAATAAACACAATTTATAGAAATAAATGGAGAAGCAATGCTAAAGCCTTACAAGTGTGTCTTACTACATAATTACAGGTAACGTGTAGTAAATACATTCCATATGATATTTCTTGCATATCCCCTAGGGCTTGGAAATCTTGAAGAAATTATGGTCCAAATGCCCTAAAATTAGCCATGTAAACTCAAATAATATCCCCTATTGAGATTTCATAGTTGGACAACTGACATTGTATAAGGAAGTCACATTAAATAAAATACTTAAACATGAAGAACATGTGGACTTAAAAGAGTTTTGTTGCATTGTATATATCCTAAAACCGCATTGCCCCCGCAAAAATTTGATCTTGGCCCACTACTAAAGCAGACTATCTTTGTTAAGTCTTTGTGAGCATCTCCCTAAATTCCCCGTGCAAGTCTATTTTATCAAAACCCATAGTACATATCTGATCCTGTACCACCCCTTCGTTCATACATATTAAGGTAAGTGCAACAATTTAATCTAACTTATAATCAAACTTTCTCCAACCAAACAAACAACACTAGATGAACCATATGGCAATGACAGTTACCCCTGTCTGTTTTGAGGAGTTCAGTCTCGTTCCCATCTCTATGTCATCCATGACTGACCTGGTCCTCACTATATGGATAGCCCTATATCACTATCTACAATTCAACAGTTCCCCTGTCAGTCACGGTACGGTGTTACCCAAATCATAAGATTTGACCTCAGATGTACTTTTGACCAAAGTGCTGCTCTCTATTGATACCCACTATCTTACATGTTATGAGATGTTTCTATTCTTTATCATTAATTTCCTAATTATCAGCCTGTTTTGTTACACAAAATCCAAGAAAACAAATATTCCCATACATTCCTGATTACATGATAAAGATTCTAATTCATTCCCATTTTATACGAGATATACTCGAACAAGCTAACTGTGACATTACAGTAAGGGAGCTCTTGGAGGACAAGTATATTTGTATTGTAAAAATATCCACCAGTTATTACCTAAATCTGTATCAGCAACAGTTGGAATCGATTAATTTCTATGAGAGGAATGCAATAATAAAACAATTGCTCCAAAAACTGATGATGTTTTTACAAAGATAACCCAACTTCCCTACCTGATTATGCTATGCAGCGTGCATGACTCCTCCTCAGTCGCTGTAAGAAAAATAAAAAGAACATTTGAAATTCCTACAATCATACCCTCTTCAGTGATTTTACATACCACTGTTCGGTGAAAAAAATCTCAATCTTAAATGCTCATTTACCTTGACAGTAAAAGTTTTGTTGCTATAGGGATTTTGTTTCCAACCTTGCTTTAGTGCCTGTAGCAGAACTTGAGCTTACTTTGACTCAAAGAATAAAAATAACAACAACTGGAAATTACAGTGAAAGTAATACTGAACTTTGTTTGGTTAAAATTGATCTAGGGGAACTAATAATTTGTTGAAAATTAGTCTAAGCCAATCAGACGCCATGGTTGTCAATTTAAATTAACCTGAAAAATACCAGCACCTTTTCAGGACCGTAAGAGTGTTCTTTATAATAGACTTGAATATTATTGGGAATGAGTCAAGTATGTCTCGGACAATCAGAGGGCATGAAGCCATCCTTGATTTTGAACTTAGACTATAAATATGTGATACACCAGAGATCAGAATGGCATTAATGTGGAGGACAAAAAATTACATAAAACACATGACCTCACTTGGTGAGGTCTATGGGTCTATGGGTGAGGTCTATGCAAGGAACATTTGCAGGATGTTTTGTCAAAATTAGCCTTGAGAAAATCGAGAGGTTGCCAATCAGATGCCACAGTGGCCATTAAATAAACCTTAAAAATTATGACATCATCATGTGTGTTCATTTACACTCATCTTGATTGTAAAAACCTTTTCTCTGAAATCTTTCAGTTTAGATGGGTATGCATTGTATTCTCACGACAACCTATTTTTCACGGTGACAGAGAGAATCAGTCTACACTAGACCTGATGTATACCCTTCATTCTGATGCCAGGCCTGATCTAGTCCTCCTAGTAATTTGCTGTCTTGTTCCTCTTTAATCCTCGACCTTGTTGACCTTTTCTCTGGGGTGACCAAAGATGAATTTCTTGCTCCTATATACCCTCGAGCATCGGCCTCGGCCTGTCTTTGTTGTGCCTCCATCAGACAAATTGCAACGTGCTTGTCGTATTCTTGTCCCACTGGAAGGTTTTCATCACACAGGTAACACAGCATCATCTGCCTATTTGACAACAACATTTTCACTTTTAAACTCAGTTATTAAGTTTTGTTATGTTCAGAACATATTACAAATGCTAGTAATTCTATTGCTTTAAAAACATATAAATGAAGTGGACAGAACTAACCTTATCTTACTTTTACATATTTCATGATTGTTAGAACTTAAAAAGATTCTTGACATGTTTTACTATTACACATTTAATTCTTTTGGTTAACGTAACTTCTAGTTTCACCTGGGCTGCTTTCGATCATTGCGATCCGAACGGTTGAACCAGTTGGACCACAGTTATTCGTTTATGAAATAAAGTCAGACCTAGTAATCAGATGCTGTTTTCAGGCAAGCCTCGACAAAGCCTTGCAAGGTCTGCATAAACTTTTGCAGGTCCGAAAGGATTTATACATAAAAATATTAAATTTAAAAACAGACGAACCGGTTGTTCCGCATAAAGAAAAAGGCCCCTGTTTAACATACCTTACAACTGGCTCAGTTGTCTCCCCTGTCAATTCTGCAATAAGAATTTTGATTCATTCAGTATTACAAGGCAACTTGAAATGTACGGAATGTCCCATTAATAACTGCTCACTGTGGTTTGAAATCTAGATAAACTAAGTGTTAATATTCTTCTTATGATTCTGGGACCTTTAAAGCATAATTTTGCTATATATAATATTCAAGATAATATCCTGCTAATTTTTGGGCAATTTAAAATGACAGAAATGTGGACTAAAATATGAATGTAATTATCAGCTGTGCTTCAGGATCCTTTACCGGCCTCAACTTTGTTAGTCTATTTAAATTAAAAAAAGAAAGTAAATTGCCTCTAGCACCCTTAGAGTCACAATATTTATTCTATAGTTTATGTACAAAAATATTTGACAAAATGGAAGCATTCTTCTACCTAACAGCGACAGGTTTCCAGACTTGGAAACCTGAACAAACAATTTATATAAATCCATGAGGCGTTACATCATGTTAAGAGTTTCAGAGTTTACATCGCATTAAACATTTCAGACTAACCTTTTGAAGATTTATCATTGGCCTTTCCTGTCTGGTGCTTCTGGGGTGAAGGAGAATAGGCCTGGCGAGGACTGTTCTGGAAAAATCCCATCGGTCCATCTGCAGGCATTTCATAATGACCTCCACTACCATCATCATCCTCATACTCAGCACTGCTTTTCTGAATAGCACCGTTAGAAACTGAAAGGGATAAAAAAACTTACTGAATAGCAGCATTAGAAACTGAAAGGGATAAATAAACATACTTGAATGCTTTGTGTGAATTAATTTTCAATTTACCATACTACGATGAACAAACAGACTCCAATATCTGTGGTGCATACAAATTCTCAATCAAACCAATAGGGGTATAAAAGCCCAAATGCGAATGTTTCAAAGAATCCTGCAGTTTTTCGTACAGATGGAAATCAGATACAGAAGTTCATTATATGAACACTGAACTTCTCCTTTTATAAGAACCGACTTAAGTCCTACACCACCACATACTATACATTTATCTCTCAAACTTACCGTTGACAACTTCGCTTCCTTCACATTCAGCTGCGTGAGCTTCTATCTGGTCGTGTGGGAAAGGTATACTACACAGGGGACATGGCACAAGGGATATCTGAAGTAGCAAAGATAAAGCACATGTTTCAAGTCTTGGGAATGGAGTCCATGGCTGGAGACTTTTAACAATTGAAATGAATCATTTTTCTTCTTCTTTTTAACAAAGTATCATCTATAAGACTAAGACATTATGATTTATGAAAAACGTTTCATTTTAGATGTTAAAAATTAAATTAATCTGAATAAATTTTAAATATATATCAATTGAAGTCACAATTGAAACAATTGAAACTTACAACCAATCACAGGGCTTATAGTCATATTACATAGGTTAATACGCAAAAAAATATGACATGGGTATATTCACGGGATTATCATCCTCCAATAATTATATGTAAAGCCCTGTATAAACTGAATACATGTGCTATATTGAAAACTCATTTTTTACTTATCTATATTCCAAATATGTTTAAGGTCAATAACTAAGATATTAACTAGAAACTGTTTCTCAGGAAATTGCAACCCAGGAGAGAATTTCCTGTCACCATTTTACATTTAGGAAAGAGACTTTTCTCAGAATTCCTCAATAAGTGATGTCATAACGAATCACAGTGAGATCAATACGATGGTCAGCCATTAAATATCACCAATTCTTCCTCTAAATACATTTTTTATCACTGGTTTTAATTTGATGTGTTGTGTTTCAATAGTGAAAATATAATTTGGTTATAAAAGCACTTAAGCAGAAAGTCATTATATTACATTAATAAGTAAACTGCAATTTATTCAACTAACAAATCAGTGAAGATAAAAGTTTTCGCAAACAAATAGCTTACTTTACAGTTAACATTCATTCAGACAGTAGTTATCTTACCGGTTCCTGTTTCCTTTTTTTCTGTACATCCATCTCCTGGTGATGCTGTCTGGTCCTTTTTCCTCTCCTCGTATCTTCTATATTTGTTGATATTTGTTGTTCCCACACCAGAACGGCAGGACCTACGTCTCCCAGATCAGTAATATCTGGCGACTCTTTAAAGGAAACTTCTGTGTCACATTCAACAGACTTGAATTGAGCTATTTTTAATTTCTTAGCACTTCGTCCTTTTTTGAAGTTCGGAGATTGACTGTCCATTTTTTCCAGGCAATCAGCTGGATCTTCATTGTCAGGAGAGTCTGTTGGAGTGATCATGTCATCGACTAGGGTTGGCTCCTCTCTTAACACTGGCAGTTGCTCTGTGGACTTGACACTGACTGAAGGGGAGACTCGGCCAACATAGTCCTGGGTCTCAGCCGAGTCGTTGGATTTGTCAGAACAACTGTCAATGCTACTTCCTTTCGCTGAACTGGTTTCTTTGATGGACTCCTTTCGTTTTTCACCCTGGCCCGAGGGCATTCTCTTCCTTCTCTTGTCCTTCGTTTCAGTTTCTTCCTCCACACTGTAAACATTATCGTCCTTCGGGATTTGTTTTGACCCCTGTTTTCTTTTTTTCATTGCTGACCTCTCTCGCTGTATGCACATCTGTGTGGAATACAGCTCTCCCTGGGCATTGATCATGGCTGCTGACTGCTGACTGAGACTGTCCATGGAGGATTCCGTCTGCAGGTTAGGCGGACTAGGTAAACCACTCTGATGTGATGGTGAAGAAGATTTCTGTCGTGTCATCTTCCCTTTATGTTTTACTAACTCATCATCTGATGGAATACTTTCTATGGAGTATCCACTGTCAGACCGTTCTAGCAGTTTCCTTTGCAGTTTTGCGTGTCTACTTCTGGTACTTCTGTTCTTGTAATTAGCTCCACCTTTTTTAAGAGTTAGAAATTCTTCCCCACTGTTGTCATCTGACAAATTGTAGATATCTTGAGGCTCTTTCTTCTTCACAGCCCCAGGGTTGGTGGGGATGCCTGTATAAATTGTTCTGCGGACAGGCTTGACCTCATGAGCGACAGGAGGAACAGCTGTTCTTCTTTTTACACTATCGCTCACACAATCTTCTGGTTTACCTGTCAATTTCTCATCACTGGATTGTCGTCTCCTTTGAATGCGGGGCAGATTTTTCTGTTTCTCCACAGACATCCATCCATCAACATCGGTCCCAACAGAAATAATCTCATCTTTCACACTATTCTGTTTTTGTCTTTGATGGCTAGGAGTAATTGCATGTTTGTTGTCATCTAGTAAAGCAGCCTCAGCATTTTCTGTTCTTACAACATCATCACCAAACGGCTGTGTATCCATATCATACAAGGCCTTAGTATCACCCCGACTGAACTCAGGAACAAAGTCTGGGTCATCGTTTGCCTTGGAATGGTTGCCTTTAAGCCTGATAGGTCTCCTCATCATTGCTGACCTTGGCCTGTATGGCACAAACTCATCCTCCTCTGAACTCTCTGCCTTATACATATTTCTGAAAGTGTTATAAAAGGGGTACTTAGAATTGCATTGGTGAAAACCACTCAAACAAAACAAACAAATCGCATTTGTGTTTGATATTCATACAGGTTAGTCATAAATCACTTTAAATTTTGATCATCGATATTGTTTGTTTGGGGTTTAACAATCTTGCAACAGCTATGAAAGGTTTTAATGTCACCGCTATAGTCTAATATAATAATAGATAATAAGATACAACATTTGATATAGCGCCCTATCTAGCTAACATAAGCCACTCTAGGCGCTTTACAGTACATATATATACAATTAATACAATTAGGATATACAATTTTTGAGGAATTTGCAGGAGCTGTCTTATCAGGCGCTAACTACTAGTCCTATGCCACCTGGCTAATATCTCCCTATGTGTGTATGCCTGCATGTGTGCTGGAGATGTTTTGTGTTCTGTTTGTAATGGGACCGTGCTTCCAATGGCATCTTTTATAGTGCCACCTCACTTGAATGCTACATCACAGATACCGCAACATCCACCCCAGACCATTTTATACTCCACCTGGGTTGTTGGAGTTGTGTTGGCAGGAGAAAAACACTTTCTCTGATATTCCATGCGTGCGACGACTTCGGGGATCAAACCCTAGCCGCCTACGTGGAAGGCCGAAGTGTTAACCACTCAACCAATCCGCCAATTATGTGTTAGTAAGTGAGAACAGAAAAGAAATAGATCCCCAGTGTTACAAATTAGGGCAGCTCATCAGTTTTTTCCCCATCAATTTCCCAAAAGCAGAAGACAGAAGAATATGGTAAACCTCCGGTGAGCTTGAATGAAATTAAATATAAACTTTGTCAATCCTGTTCAAATTACACAAAGTTATAGCTGCTAAAATAAAGAGTAGTCTGAACAATTCAAGTTGACACGGGCAAAAATTACGACAAAGTCAAGTTGTTGATATGGGAAGACGACAGCCTTTTGTGATATATTTGCAAATCTGGTGATGAATAATGGTGCATGTCTTTCTTATATTTACTTACATATCAATTATCAATTATTAAGTTAAATCTGCATGAAATCAGGAAGCAAAGACTAGTATATAATTTTTTTGTGTAAGGGGGCAAAGCAGTAGATGCTTTTTGAAGTATTGATGTATCAGCATGCGAAGGACTGATTGTTTTGGCACATATACAGGTAACGTATCAATTAAGTAATAAATCAGGGATTGGTGGCCAGGTTGCGATTATATAATCTAATTGTAAACAGTAATACCATGACAATTCACACGTATCTGTCAGCAATGTGACGGGAATGTTGTAGTTTTAGCATGTTCAGTATTCTTCTTTCAATTAAAGTTGTTTAACTGGCGGATGCACACATATTAACAAGAAGGAAATTCAACAATCGGTAAGATGTTGCACATTAATGTACAAATTGTCCATCACAGATGACTGTTAAAGAGTACATATATGAGTATTACTTGCTACTTATAAAATGCTGTCGATTTGAAAATAGATCAGTTTGAGCAAGTTTCGTGAGGCTTTTATTGCAACGCTGATTGCCAAAATCGATCAATAACTACGTAATTTCAGTACTCAAATTTTGTATTTGAACAATCCAAAATGTGGGTAAGCAGGGTTGGAACTATCACTAGACAGAAAATTATTGCCATTTTTTTTTAAAAAGTGTGTTCGAACTATCTGCCTATTTGAACTGACCGAAGGTTTGCCGTACCCAAGATTCCCCACATCTAAAGAAGAATACATGTTAAAACCATAATTCCCTCCTTCCCAAATCATTTCAAGATATATGAGTTTATGACAGGCCATCATCAAAAATGTATATCTCACATTTTGTGCGATAAAAAATGTTCCAGTATTATACATACTGCCTTGATCGGTTGGTAGGAGCGAAGTCTAATGTGTTCTCCACATGGCGACCACACTTGACTGGTTCACCCCATGCAATCATCTCTGCGGCCTTGGCCTGAGCCTCGGTCAGCTTACGGCTGTAGATCTCCATCAGCTGGAGGATGACCGTGGTGTAGGACAGTACACTCCCGGGATCAGGAGCATAAAGTGGGTATTTCTGTGTCACCTGTCAGGTAGATTAGTCAGCGGACATTAGAGAGCACAACATTCTCAATGAGATTATCCATATAGTCATTTATAACAAAAACAAAACTTTTTTTTTATCTTTTTTTTTATGTTCCAAATAAATAACATCTGTTCAAATTGTCAAAAGATAGTGTTACAATCCAGTTACATGTATGTGAATGCAGAGTTGAATTAAGAACTCAAATTTTGTTTTGGTCTCCACAAATCACCTGTTATCTCAATAAATCATGCTTACCTTCTTTGCTCTTCTGGAAAAAAATCAAATAGATAAAATTAAAATCCAATTGTAGCTAAAAAGAAATTGCTTGATCTGAATAAGAATCCTTCAATTTTAATTTACCATTTCTACCACCATCAAATTGATCAGAGATAATGCTGAGCCTCAAAACTCCGAAGTCTTATTTGTTTTGAGGATTCTCAGATTGAATTTATTATTTGCTCCATAAATATACAAAATCATCACCTATGAAAACATTAAAATTCCTTTTTCACTTTTTAGAGGGAGATAACTGTGAGCTTCTTACCTGTAATGTCTCCTGAGGGCTGGCACATCATAAAAGTCGCTTTCTTGAGAAGATGAAGAATCCTGATCAAGATCAATCAAACATATTATTGTCCTTACCACCAATTTACATGTAAAATTTGTCTTTTATCCACATACACTTTTTATCATTAATTCTTTTGAGAAATAAGGGCCAACTTAATGTATTGGTTCAAAACGAACAGGACTATTTGACATCACAGCAAATTGTAATCAAAGTAAAACATAATTGGCATCTCTTTTTTAATCACAAGATATTCAAACTAAATTTCAAATGCTTAATATTTAAACTGTTTTATGTTCATTTTTTTTTAATTTGGAGAATTTATTCTGCAAATGTATCTATGTCCAGGTTATGAAATGATACAAAGTTGAATTATAATTTAACAGTAAGTACCTTCCTGGTGATATCTGGTTCACCTGAGGAGCCTCCCTTTCCATCCTTGTCACACTTGTGTGAGAACTTGTTCTGTACAATATGAGCCATCTCCACCACCTTGTTCTTCAATGATTTAAAGTTGAAGGCGACTTTTGTCTCGGAAGGAATGCTGTCATGATGCAACACACTTTGATTTCTACTTTTTGTAGAGCTTCCTTTCCCACTGGTAGATATGTCTTCCCCCACATGGTGAATTTTTTGCAATGTTCGGGGAGGTGGAGTCCGTCCTGCCAACCGATGCCGAGCACTGGTGGAATCATCCTCAACCGGTGGGGTCATTTGACTGTCCTGAACCATATAAAGATAAAATCAAGGGGTCAAATGTGTGAAAATCTTTGAAACAACAAATTTCTGCCAAATAACGAAGAGTGCTAGGGTGATGATTATTGGCTAATAGCATGTTGGGATAGAGTAGTACAAAGTTTCATCAAAGAATTGTATATACATTTGGTCTATAAAATGTTGACGAAATACTTCATTTCAATTTCATTTAATAAACATGAACTAAAAGCATCACTTGACAAAATGGAAATCCAGGGAACATTTAAGTTTTGATAACCAAATCAAATATTATAGGCAATGATCGTATGTCAAATTCAATTTAAAATATTAAAACATCCATGAAATAATTATTTCCAGTACATGTTTCACTTATTTTGAGCAATACCCTGGCCAAGTTCAAGAGGGACATCAAAACTCACCTCTTCACGTCTGCATTTTAGAATCTTTGCAAAGACGTTATGTAAATACCACCCTTTTATTTGTTCAATCATGTGCACATTGCTTGCTTAAATGTATAAAAGTGATTGTAAGCCTTTGTTTTTTGTTTGTTTTACTATTATCCATATATTGTAAAGTGCTTTAGAGTAATTTTACAAATTATATAGGGCGCTATATAAATGTTGTATATTATTATTATTATTAACTCAGTACCTGAACTATTTCTTGAGATTGTTGTCCATCATTGTAGTTCACTTCCTGTGTTGTTTCGTCTTCCTCATCTGGTGTATTTACCACTTTAATACCCTCAGGTTCTTCTGGAGACTATCAAACAAGTCGTAATATACAACATAAGTAAGGGTCTAACAAGTATTCAGGAACATTAATTTTCAAATGAAGTTGAAGCAATATAAATATCTACCTTGTCTTTAATATAATTACCCCCTCGGGCCCCCCTCCCAGTTATTGTTTTTTTGCAGAATTTTTCTTAAAATTGAACAAAAACTAGAAATATGTCAGAATGACATGAAAGTCACCCCATCATTCTGCATGATCATTTTCCGATAAATCATTGACCAAGCTACAACGGATATATTTCCACCTGTCAATCAAAATAGTACACAATTACCAGGTGTAAATACATACATGCTGTTCAGGTAGCCATGGCAACACAGGGAAATAATAGGAAAGCATGTCGCAAATATAACGTTAGCGTTGACCGACACCTCGAATACGGGGAGATCTGTGCGCTGACACAGTCACCTGGCATGGGCAGAACAGGTAATTGGAATATAACGATGTTGTTTTCACAACAATAAGTTTCAGAAAAGATTCAATCTTATATACGGATAAATCTTCTACTATTTTTTGTTATGAAATACTCTTTTCCAAGTAGTTTTCTGATCGTCTGCAAATCTGACTGAATCGGTCATCGATATCGGCAGAATGTGTACTGTACGCTTAAAACGTCACTCCGACGAGGACCGCCAACAGCCGAATTCGCAAGACATGAAGAACACCAAACAATTGTGATATCAGCAATTCTCCTTCGAAAAGAAAAGATCGGAATGTATTTGGCTGTTTTGAACCCGTTGATATTTAATTTTCAAACTCAAACTTTTATCATTATCGGCTCAATTCGCATGGATGTCACTTTGTAAATTCCTGCCGGTTAATAGTATAACGAACATCGACTCTTTGCAGTACACAAACTTGCTAACTTCGCCACTTTACCCGTGTCGTTTTGACACATTCCTACGGACAAGATTGAAGAGTTCAGCAAGATTTTACCCAAGAGCGCCATTTTAACCACAGAGTAATAAATCCGATGCAATTCTTCGTTATGTTTCCCCGATACGTGGTATTTATCAATTCACAACGTAACGTCCTGAAAAGTTGAGCCTACTTTACTCAAGTTTATTTATCCGATTCTATAGTATTATGACTTAAACTTGCAACTTTTCGTAATTGTTAAATTGGCAATGCAATCAGGGAATATTCAACGAAATTTAGCAGTTGTATTGCTGTTAGCATATATCAAAACATTTCCGAAAATCCTCGAAAATATTTACGAGAAATGGACGCGACCAAGGACTGGTTTTGGATTGTTCTTGAGTATCGTGTACACCCCTTTCTTGACACTTCATTTTCCCCTTAAAAAAGTGTGCACTATACACAAATATTAACGGTAGACGTTGGACAGACATAAAATATCTATATCAGTCAATAGCAATTTATAATACGACAGTTTACCCCTTCGGGAACCTCAATGGTGCCCGATTCATACTCGGAACATCTTTAGGTTATATGTAATTCCCGTGGGGAATTTGGAACGCCTTTAGGTTTTATGCTATTCCTGTTTAAAAAGGAAATCGATATCTGAGTTATCCAAGAGCTTGTAATTAGCGCCTGGTATATTCCGATAGAAGCAAGATACACAACAGCCCTCCTAACACAGGTCAAAATCTGGGACTGAAACCAAAATTAATAGTCCCCACTGGGGTTCCCCCAGGGGTGACTAAAAATACATATTGAAACAACAATACAAAAGAATCAGAATATTTATCAGTTTTTGCATATTTTTGCTGGCTGAAAAAAAATGGTGGTTAAATATTAAAGTATGAAATTCTCCATGTAAATTACCTCAAACTCAAAAACCTCAGGAGAATCTGGTGGCTGTGTGTCATCATCCTCCGTAACAGCTGATAAAACTTTCTGAGATTTTCTTTGATCCATCATTTCCGTGTCTGAACCTGTATTCTACAACAATTGTTATACACCACATCATTAGAGACAGGACCAAATCTACCATTTACAGCGATTAAGATGACTTCTGCAGGACTAGATAAATATCCCTAGTTTCTGAGTATGCATTATTTCAAACAAATTTATATATCAATTCATAAAACACAAGAATTCTTTAGAGAGTGGATTTGTCGCGCTCAGTACTTTTAGTAAGAAAAGTGTTTTGGCTCGAGTTATTGCGTCAACAGTTATGCCAAAACGCAGAAAGTTGAAACTCGACAGAAAAACCTGTAATAATGGTTGAACATTATTGCTTCTAGCATTACCGTACAAAATTTGAAAGGAAACTTTACAGTACCAACTCAATTTGACTCAATTTCAAATGGGTTAAATTAATTTGCATTTACTACACAATGCCCTTATTTAGCAATAAAAGGGGCATAACTCGACCAAAAATGCATGTAAACTTCTCCAAGCTATACTGGTATGCAATATGTGTACCAAGTTTGAGTTCAATCAACCCAAGGAAGCTTAAGTTATCGCATGGAAACCATCGTTGAAAAAGTAAAACCTATATGTGGCATCGTGTTGCAGGCGACACAAAAATTGGAAAATTGGTTACTATGGATTCTATGTAATTTAGTCCTTTGGTATATGACAAGTGTCTACCTAACAATGTAGCAGTTCTGTACTACAGGTAAAACAGTACATACATACATGTATACTAACTAGTGGTGTACTGATAACTGGAAACATGATTAAATCGAGCTTGACATGAGGTCAATTCGATAATCGATTTAGAGCACATGAAAGATCGATTTTGAAACTTTGTCATGAAGAACTGAAATTCTTAAGATACATACAGTTACTTTTCATGTGTAATCCAAAAATAAAACATCGCTTTCATCCGTTCTTGTTGATTCTCGCTTGAATCATGCCGGAAATCAAGCATGGTAGCTATAGCGTCATTATGTAATCAAGGTCAGTGCAGTGTTTTGTAGGTACGGCTAAATTTATAACTGACGAAATCTGGAAGTACAGCAAATGGCGGCCACCGGAATGAAACCACTTTCTTTTTCAGCGAAGGGATGGTGAGACATAAACTTTACAGTACCAACTCAATTTGACTCAATTTCAAATGGGTTAAATTAATTCACAATTATAAACGTCATATCAAGTACTTAACCCAAAATGCATAACCTGATTTGTTTGTGTAATGATCGCTATCATCATGACTCGTCTGCAGGAGATAGGAAAAGGTATGTTCACTTTTCAAACGGTAATCTACCGGTCATTGTTAATATCTGAAGTACCTTTTCTCATCATATGAATGTCTCTTAGATAAAGTTATTTGCAAAATAACACGTAGTTATATCAATTTTTTTCAATGATTGGACAAAATGTCAATTTGTTTAATGCATTCCTTTTGGCGCTTATTTCAACCGATAATCGATTACCGATCGATCTTGAATGTCCGATTATCGATCTTCAAAATCGTACCGATTCCCAACACTAATACTAACTGGTATATCATCATCGATGACAATGTGAGAATACTGCTCCATCTTCCTCTGCTTTTTAGGTCTTTCATCAGCCACGCTCTTAGACTAAATTGAAATATAAAAAGAAAATTTCAATTTCTGTTATAACAAAATCACCCACTCTTTGGCGGCCAAGATATATTTGAGCATGAAGCCCTTACCATTGTTCAAAAACATGGATTTATTTCAGTATTAATGTGACTTAACATAATCCATGCTATACTGTCACTGCCAGTAAAATAATTCAAAACAATTACTGCAAACTTACATAGATTTTTTAGGTCATTCATCGGCAACACCCTTAGACTTATGAAATATATATAGAAAAGAATATATTATATCATATTGACCTTTTGATATTCTATTCAAAAACATACAACAAATTGATCTCAACATCAACACGAAATAATAGAAATTACAAAATAATAAAACAAGCACTGAAAAACTGAAGACAGCCAAATTCTAGCCACGCAATAATCCTTATATTTTGAGAGCTCCCAAAGTCTGATTGATCGTGAAAACCTGCCCTGTATTGGTTCTGACCTGTGTGGTTGTCCGTTTACCAGGTTCTCTCTTGGTTTTCTGTTTTCCCATTATGCCTGCGTCTTTTACCAGTATAGTCTGCTGCATGTCCTTATCTTCCATGTTGGAAGTTGACTCCTTGGTGACGTCTCCATCGCTTTTGTTTCCGATGTCACTCTGATTATGTCTACCTATTCTAACTTTGTTCTGGGAATATCCTGTCAATATCTTTGTTCTTTTGGGCTTGTCCCTAGACTTGTCATCCTGGCTCTCTTCATTAGGTGCTACCTGATCGACACACACTTTGGACTGCTCGTGACTGATGAATGGCTGTTGATGTTTGTAGATAGAGTCATGGTCAGGGATGGTGGTAGAATCATTATCTCTTCTGTAATTGAAAGTAGAATCATCAGGTAGACTTTGAAATTGTGTTTAAATTCTCATTATTTTCAATTCAAAAATGGATTTTGCATCTGAATTTCAACGCTTCACTATCTATTAAGCAAATCTGTGCTGTCTCCATTTTCTCTCTCTTTCTGCTGATCGTCTAATTTAAAATACAGTGCCAAGGCATAAGCTGTCACAGGTCCTCCAGATCATGTGAGCTAAAAATAATCATCGGTTTTTTCATGACTTTCTGTGCTAAGAAACTATGTAGCAAAAATTAAAGTATTAGCCTGGATTTGGGATCGCCACTGAGCAATGACCAACCTATTCTTAGTATGTGGGGTCTGACCGCAAGAATTCCAACCATCATTCAGCGCATCTTCACTAGACATATCTACCTCCGTCTTCTGTGCTTTTGGCGTAGCTTCATCCTTTGACATCATTATAACTTTCTGTAAAAGTTCAATTAGATAAAAAGGTACATGTATATTTCTTGATCATTTACAATTGCTTTCAATTAAAAGTTTTGAAAAACACCTAACCCAAAAGAAGAGTAAATCAATCACGGCAGATTAAAGAAAAAGATAAAATCAAACCAAGCATTTTTGAAACGTTTTCTTATGCAAGATAATTGGTGGACTGTCCTCTTACGACTCTTATGACAATGTTTTTGCATCGTGACTCACCACAAATTCTCTTTTCTCTTGCTTACTCATACCAGTAGTGTCAATCCCGGCATCTAAAACATCAAATATATTCTAGCGTCAAAACTTGCATCTTAACACATCAAATATGTTAGTGTCAAAACTTGAATATAAAACATCAAATATATTATAGTCAATAGAGTGTCAAAACCTGCCTCTGAAACATCAAATATATTAGTGTCAAAACCTGCCTCTGAAACATCAAATATATTAGAGTCAAAACCTGCCTCTGAAACATCAAATATATTTATTTATAATGTCGAAATCTCCATTTAAAACATCAACAATAACAACGTCATAGTTTGTATACAGATGTGTTAAAATAAGAACAAACTTTAAAGAAACTTCTGATTTCTGGCACAAATGTTTTTCTTCTAATCAAGTTCAAAATGAATAACCAAACTAGGAAAAAGAACCTTCTTACAACAAGAGGCCCATGGGCCTAAACGGTCACCTGAGTCTACAGTATTTATTTTTGTTGTTGAACTATGTACCAATTTGAGTAAAAAATAGTATAATGTTAACTTAACTTTGTCAGGACCATGAGCTGATCATTCCTAGACCAATTTTAAGTGAGATCGGCCTATTAGAACTTAGTAGCAAAATAGCGGCCATGGCAGCCAAATTGTATTTCTGATTGACCCGAAAAATAACAACACTTTGTCAGGACCATGAGGCGATCATTCCTACCAACTTTCAGTTCAATCGGTCCAGCAGAACTTGACTTTAAGTTTGAAATAGGTTTTCAAAATGGCGGCCGTGGCGGCCATATTGGATTTCTGATCGACCCGAAAAATAACAACACTTTGTCAGGACCATGAGGCGATCATTCCTACCAACTTTCAGTTCAATCGGTCCAGCAGAACTTGACTTTAAGTTTGAAATAGGTTTTCAAAATGGCGGCCGTGGCGGCCATATTGGATTTCTGATCGACCCGAAAAATAACAACACTTTGTCAGGACCATGAGGCGATCATTCCTACCAACTTTCAGTTCAATCGGTCCAGCAGAACTTGACTTTAAGTTTGAAATAGGTTTTCAAAATGGCGGCCGTGGCGGCCATATTGGATTTCTGATCGACCCGAAAAATAACAACACTTTGTCAGGACCATGAGGCGATCATTCCTACCAACTTTCAGTTCAATCGGCCCAGCAGAACTTGACTTTAAGTTTGAAATGTAAAATGTTAACGGACGACGGACGACGACGGACGAAAACGGATAGCAATAGGTCACTTGAGCTAAAGCTCAGGTGACCTAAAAATGGAATATCTGTTTTTCATTTCTGAGAAATAGTCATGGTAAAATTCAAGATGTCTACCTCTGGTCATTTTTCTCTGTGATCAGTTCAAAATTAAACATGCACAGAACATGCACCAAAGTGCAGCCATCTTTATGCAATCAGTTCTAAGGATCAAGGGTATTAATTTTGCACACACTGATCATGACGTCGACAAACCTCTCAGAATCTGGTCACTGCGGTCTTCTGCGGTCACAGTTATTTTTTTAATCCCTCTCGTCTGGAGCCTCTGGTTCCGGGATCTTGATGTGGGCACAAAGTTTGGGCCATCATGGTCTGTTGGATTCACATAGATAATCTGCAATGTCAACAGTATAAAAAACAAGAATGTGATACACCAACATTTACATTCTAACTGCTATAGGTATGATGACCTGTGTTTTTGATAATAGCCAGCACCTAATGGTATTCACTGGGTACTATGTTTGTCACCAGCTTCTTTTAAACCATTGCAAATATTTATGATCATAATCTCTGGCATGAAAAAATGGTTAATACCTATTATTTCACCAATAACCTCCTACATCAAAACTTGAGAACTCTGTATTACTCCCATAAGTGCTATAATTCAATCACAGCGACTCAATGGGATATTTTGCCGATGATTTCCAAGATTGAACATCCTTAACATTGTATATCACATCTGCATTATGACATATCTTTCATAAAATCCTCTCCTGGTCAGAGTAGTAAATAATTTGCTTGACGTAACGGGTTATCAGATAATCCAGATATCTACCTTGTGCAAATTGATTTATATGTACCTAAACAAATTCCCCGAATAAAAATCATAGTCTAACATCATTCATTTAAATATATCCGATCTATTCAATACTTCGTCCATGAATTTTGTTTAGCTAATTCAGTAGGTCCTATATATGTAGCAGTGTCATTATTTAATGACAGTAATATCTTTTACTTGTACAGCTGGTTATTTTTAAACTTGATTCTTCATTAAAAGCAGAGTATTAAGTGCTGTGCTTTTACTATACAGTGTATCTATATACATGTACACTTTGATTTATATCAAATGACACCTGTGCAAACCTGTTTGTCAAGGTTTATGGGTCGATCTATTTTTGTGTAAGATTGACCATGGGTCAGTGCGCACCCGCGCTTTTGGGGGCATTGTCACTCCCGTACAAGTTTATGGCCGTATCGGACGTGTTATGCAATTGTGCAGACTTAATGCTTATTAGTGAGCTGAGAATTCTAAATTGTGAGTACTTTAATAAGATCTTAGTGATTGTAAATTATTTATATCACATGTGATAACCTTTTGATATACTGCTGATGTAAATTATATACTTTATAAATTAATTGGAATTGTCCAATTCAATTAATACGGTTATTTGAAATTTGACTTTCCCGCCATTTTGTGCTATTCGTTATTTTTATCCACAATGATTTTGGTTAACTTGATTAGTGGTCTACATCATGTCTATTATATTCAACATTCTTGTTAACGTCCGATACTGGTACATCTTTAGTAATTGTCATTATTTTATTATTTGTAGCATTGTATGCGCAAGATTGGCTCACGGAATTATTTAAGTCTGTGATTGGCTACTTGGTCACGTACTCACGTACGGGGTTGTCTCCCTGGATTTAGACCCTCTTCGTCTATGAAGAGGTAGGTTTTGAAGTGATTCCGTTTTGTACAAATAGTTGTATTGTTGTTAAACTATTATTTAATGTCACTGTATAATTTTAACTATGATATTTGTCAAATACTCTTAACCGCATTGGTTGTATGATAAGCGTTAAGCTCGGCTATTTAATTGGAGTAGTGATAACGCCCGAGTTATTCAGTATAACGTTTTGGTAGTATTTATATAGTGAAGTGTAAAGTTAGTAGCATGCGACAGGTGCGTTAACCTGTTGCGTTATTGTATATGGACGATTCCATTGTAATGTATAAGCTACTGTTGGTATTTAAATGCGGAATATGTTTCTTATTGATGCTATATATTGTTTTAGGGTTTAATGTATGAGGAATAAATATCAATGGAAGCAAAGATAGCGTTGGAGTGTTCTATACAAAGAGACCCCTAGAATAAGACCGTTACATATAAACAAAGTTTAAATGATAATCTAAATATCAGAATGAAAATAATATTTGACTATATATTACAATGGCAATAATGTTAGAGCTTACATCATTGGAGTCTGAATCGTTGTCAGGTTCTGCTGGCCTTTTGTCTTTGAACTTTTTATATTCCATCTTGATTGTCTTTTGTGTTCCAGATCTTTTTATTTTATTTCAACTGTTGAATTTATTCTGCAACAAGCGGAAAATAACAAAACATGTTACTCAACAGTTTCAGTAAGATTTCGAGTTGTATGTATCCAACACAAAGTAAGCAGCTAATTTCAGTACATTTCATAGTATTGTATCAATCTCCTTATTTTTTTCATGAAAGTAGCATGTGAAATATTTCGGAATATTTTTACCGGGTGATGATTGTTGCATTTAATTTTGCTTGTCCTACATGTACAATTATATAATAAAGTGTCTGTGACTAGCATTTAAGCAAGCACCGACACATGTGTGTACATGTGCATACTTGTATTTGTGATGAGGGTTGAGATGCAAGAAAAGGTCAGGACATTTATAGTGGACCTGCACTGCCTGCAGGCATGGGTTGACCACATGACCAGAAACCAAATTTTGTTTAAACATAATCTTAGAGTTTGAAGGTTTTAGGCATGTAATTCCAGTCTGCCAACTTCATTTTTCTTGTCTTGATACATAATCATATATATTTATCATGCATTTAGTTTTACCAATTTCCAAATCACTTTATATGCCAATGGCTAATTCATTAGACTAGGAACACTTTTGTTTATCATTAGGGAGTGGATATTTACCCGGCTGCCGTGTCCCGAGAACGCGAAAGACTATTCACCCGGCTATGACACTTGAAAAATAACTGGAAAACATCAAATTTAGCAACTGGAACTTTAAAAGACAATTAGATAGATCTGATAAATGATGCACACGACAATAAAATACCCTAATGTTTAATAAAAGTATGACATTTGCATTGTACGTTTTGCTTTCTTCGGGGAAGTGTTGGTCAACTCGCCCAAGTCTATAGCTACACAATCGGCAATCTGTAGGTTTTTTTTCCAAATATTCTGTGTGATTCAGACTCGTCTTTCAAACTAAAGCTTACTTGGGGTCTACTTGCAACGTTTATTTAACAAATGATTTGGGTACGACCCGACAAGATTATAGTACACAGCTTCCGGGCGAATAGGCTCTGTGCGATTGTGTACCCGGCCGCCTGGCGAATAGTCATTTGACATGTGTACCCGGCTACCGGGCAAATAGTCTTTGTACTTTTAGGTACCTGGCTGCCGGGCGAATAGCCTTAACCTTATCATTATCCGATATGATAATCAATTTATTATACTAATACACACTGATGTTTGAAAGATGCCGTCAATGTGAGCAGTTGACATTTAGTCCAATGAGTGAGAAATGAATCAACCGAAATATAGGTATAGTTACTCTAACTCTCACAATCGCTTTTACCAGTGCCGATCAGTTTGCGTCAATACGAACAAATTCATATAATAATATCAAACTGATTGTTGTGTGTACATGTGTAGATTGTTGCATGAATATGACGATCAAATGTAAGTTCGAGCGAAACGTCTACTGAAGTTCACGTTAGATACAGTAGCAGGGGAGGGGGGTCGAAACTCCGAAAGCTTATGGGCGAAAACAGGGACATGGATAATATATGACATCCCACCCAAAACAATTGATTCAATTTCATACAAAAACGTTTTCTGTTTGGCATCATCCAACTGCTAGGATAGCATATTGTCTCAGTGATACTCCTGTCTTTCCTCTCCTGCCTTCTAACTCAAGACCTACCAGAAAATTATAAAAATGGCGCGAGTTTTGGTGTATGATGGGAAATTGATTTTATCTAACAATTATTTTTAATATGGTGATATTTTATCATTTTATTACAGAGATACCTCAGTTAGTATTAGAAATGAAAATCTGCGTCGATTCATAGAAGATTTTCTGTTATTTTCTATATAACGCCCCCTCATTAGCATATTTCCAAGATGGACGACAAGGAGATGCCAAGGAAGAATAACAGTGAACTTCGAACTCAACTGGAGGGGAATTATGGCTCTTGAGAGTAAACAGGGTTCATATATTTTACACTGATATTAACTTGACGTGGCTTGATGTGTTGATATATGTAATATAGCCATGTCTTTATCTGAACCTTCACATTTTACTTCGGTATTTGGATATTTTTCAATACACACAACTGTCAAAGCAGCTATGAATGTGACTGTGCTTTGTTTGTGTGTACAGCATGGGCAAACTTGATTTGCTTCTTTCAATACGGAGAAGTGAGAAGATGATATTAGGCATGTGTGAAGATCTGCCTGATGTTTCATATTCCGGTATAATCTCAACTGAATCGGAAGATACCATGAGGTTTGTTGATAGCCAAAACAATGTTGATGTTGACATTTTAAAATCGCGTCTAAAAGAGACAGCACACCATTGCTTCAATAGCAGCAATGGTGCCAATGGTAGTAAAAGACTTCTATCAGATAACAACAGTTCAAAAGAGTTAAATGTAAGTTGCAGTTCAGAAGAGGGATGTAATGGATGTGATTTAGATGAATCTGATTGCAAGCGGTTGAATAGCTCTTCTTCACTTTCTGATGCAGAGAACATATCATCACACTCAAATGATAATTATCAGTCTTATTGTGAGACTGGGTTAGATCCAGGTGTAAGACTGAAATCTGGACTTGTTATCACGCCGATCACTCTGACACAAGATGTCCCGCTGGACATCAACGAGGGGTCAAATAATCGATTGTCTACAGTTCTGCAAAACATTCAGTTACCGCTTGTGTACATTCCTACAACTCGACAACTAGTCACCAATAAGAAGGGAATAGAAAAAAGCCAAGGAGATGCCAGCTCAACTGGTGCACCTGAAGAATCTTTTTCGGGTGCAGGCAATTCAGTCACGTTATCTGAATATGACAGTAACCAAAGCACATCAACTGAAACTATACTCAATATTGATGACATTGACCAAAACTCAGAGATATTAAAGCAAACTAATATAGAGACAGGAAGTTTAGGGGAAACTGATTCTTTATTGAGATTAAAAGAACCTGACCAGCTAACATGTAGTAGTTTGGATCTGGACTCTGGGATCCACAGGGTATATACTGGAGATTCTCTACTCCGAACATTTAATGATGCCTCCAGTCTTTCTAGTCTTAGCACTTGTACAGATTTTTCAGTGTCCGCTGCCTCCATAGATGATGGTGAAGGGACAGGACTTTGTATAGACACCGGAGATGGAGGATTTATGGAAATCAATCTCCATTCTAGAAATTCATTTGAACGTTGTAAAAATGGCTCTCAAGATAGTGGAATTGACGACAGAGGTGCTAAACCGAAGCGGAAAGGCATTTCAGGATTTTTATCAAGGTAATTGACCATTTGTTTGATCTATTTTCCAGATTAATATTATATTACTCTGTATATCCTTTTCAGTACAATTCAAGAAATGTAATAAATGTACATTGAAGGTAAAAAATTGACTGCATGTCTTTGCATTTACAAATAGATCTTTAATTGACTTTTATATCATACCTTTATCTGTCATGTGTGTGCATCTGACAGTGGTGTCATATATATGCAAAGCAAAAAATTTGAGTCTGATACTCATCAGATTTGGATCTGATTCTTTATAAGGGATGTCCCTTGCATTTTGAGACAAAGGGACATTATCTAAATGCTTGATTGAGGCTCTTTAATTAGGAATTTCTTATTTAAAAATATTGTATGTATGTGATGGTGTAAGTGATGACTATATCTTTTTTCTCTGATCTGTTCGTGAAGTTTTATGAAATCAATGAAAACACTGGATATGGCACTTTATCAGATGACATCACAGTCATACCAGCAACTTGTACATATATATATAGGCAGCATTGTTTTTCTTCAAATGGTAAACATGTTAATTTCTTTTGATATGAGGATGAGATATTAGGATAGAATGTGTGCCTGCTGAAGATATGGAGATTGGGGGCGTTGGGTAGCATTAGGAGTTTAATTTATAAACCTGAGGATGCATGTTAGGCTTAACTTATATCAAAGTACACTATACATCCAGGCAGGGAATGAAGAGGTTAAACACTATGAATGTATAATTATAGTCCAGTATGTTCTTTTTCATTACATGCAAAATGCTGTGTCACACACTTTTGTATATATGTGATGTATAGTATGTATGTGCACAGTACTTACAATATACTTTATGTTGTGAATTGGAACATGAAATAGTGTGGTGTTGTTATTCATCAGAATGTTCTGCTGAATATTTCTTTAGTCGTAGACTTGGCTGGAAAATGTTCCTTTGGTTGATGATTGGATCGCAGTAGATCAAAGACACTGATAACATCACACAGATTCGTGATTTATAGATGTTTGATGCTTAAGATAAGCAGATGCACTTCAAAAATATATCTTTGATTACTTACACGTAATTACATTTACAATCAATATTACGCAACACAAACCATCTGCATATAAACACAACACAAATAACCATTTACATATAAACACAACACAAATAACCATCTACATATAAACACAACACTAATAACAATCTACATATAAACACAACATAAATAACCATCTACATACAAACACAACACAAATAACAATCTACATATAAACACAACCCAAATAACCAACTACATATAAACACAACACAAGTAACCATCTACATATAACACAACACAAATAACAATCTACATATAAACACAACACAAATAACCATCTACATATATCCAAAAATACACAAAGTACAAGTTAAGGTACCACACTTGGTTTTCAGTTTGCTTAATAAGTGATCATTGGTGTTAACTTTTATTTTATTTTCAAGTCAATTCATAGCACTACTCAAAAAGGATTTTTATGCTTACAAAATTTTAAAAACTCATTATTCCCCTACAATGACCTTTGGATGTTACTACCGTATATACATGTGTCTTGGATTTTGCTTGTATGTCTGTCTGTCAAAAAGACAATTTTGTCCATAAAAGCTTGTCCTATGCAACATTTTCCCCGACATTTCATAAGGTGAATGTTGTAACCACCATAATATGTGTATGTAGTTGAGTTTGGCCCGACTCGTGGTAGTTGAGTATGGCCCGACTCGAGGTAGTTGGGTATGGCCCGACTCGTGGTAGTTGAGTATGGCCCAACTCGAGGTAGTTGAGTATGGCCCAACTCGAGGTAGTTGAGTATGGCCCAACTCGAGGTAGTTGAGTATGGCCCAACTCGAGGTAGTTGAGTATGGCCCGACTCGTGGTAGTTGAGTATGGCCCAACTTGAGGTAGTTGAGTATGGCCCGACTCGTGGTTGTTGGGTATGGCCCGACTCGTGATAGTTGGGTATGGCTTGATTTGAGGTAGTTGAGTATGGCGCGATTCGTGGTTGTTGGGTATGGCCCGACTCGTGTGTATACCTGCAGACAGTGTATCAATCTCAGTATTTTTGACAGAGTTGTAGCCCTTTTTGTACTAAAGCATTAATTGCATCGCGTTCAAAGAGCTTCTGTTTTGTAAGTTTTAATTTTCTTTGAAACTTGGTTTGGATTGAATGTCGTCATGTAGTTAAAATGTCTATTATTCAAGCAAAATGGTCTCATGCATGATACTTCCAGGAAAGGCTACATATGAATGCTGAGGACCTGCACTAGCTTGAATGTCACAAGTCAGGTTGTACATTAATTGGTTCATCATTGAAATGCTGGTGTTTTAAAAGAGTTTTGGAATTATGTATTGATTATTCATGGAGACGTATATAAAACCATTGTTAAGGAAAAGGAAACATTAAATATCATTGGTTGTAGTTATATAGGGCAGCTCTGTACTTAATGTAGCAAATGACATATCATGATGATGAGGGGAATTACACTGATGCCATCATTAAGTATACATAGTCACAGTGCGGATGACAAGTATACTGATACATAATACTAGTGCACATACTCATGATTATAATCTTAGTTTAAGTAATCAATGTAATACACAGTACAGTGTAAAGCCTTTAGAAATGAACAAAGTATTAAATTTTCATATGATATTATGAATGAATACTAATTACCATGCACTATATTCTTACCAACCAATGACAGAATACAGTACTTGTGTATAAAATGTATGCCATTATAAAATCCCATTTCTGTACTTATGTGTATACATTTTGGGGACCTTGTCAATATATGGTCGTTATATTCCATTATGAACATAGATCATAATGTAAGCTAGGCCTATGTAAATTGTAATACGTTGGTTCAGAACATAGATCATAATGTAAGTTAGGCCTCTGTAAATTGTAATCCGTTGGTTAAGAACATAGATCATAATGAAAGTTAGGCCTATGTAAATTGTGATAAGTTGGTTAATAACATAGATCATAATGTAAGCTAGGCCTATGTAAAGTGTGATACGTTGGTTAAGAACATAAATCATAATGTAAGCTAGGCCTATGTAAAGTGTGATACGTTGGTTAAGAACATAGATCATAATGCAAGCTAGGCCTATGTAAATTGTGATACGTTGGGTAAGAACATAGATCATAATGTAAGCTAGGCCTATGTAAATTGTGATACGCTGGACGTCTTCACACCTACTAATGTAGGTATATGATCAATACTAGCTAGCTTTAATTGTGAAGGGATCCATTATTGATAAGATGGTAATGGAGTAGACTACTCAGCAGTGCCATATTCAACAACAACACATAACAGTTTTTATATCAGCTTTAAGACCTTGAATGATCACAATGATCTTTACATGCAATAAATATTGTTCTTGACTTCATCCATATCAGAGCGCAGCAATATATATGTACCATTGCATTATTACTAGTAAAGGGTATTTTGGTCTAGACCCTCTGATTCACTTCTAGAGCTTTCAGGTATCATAAATATGCACAGATATATCAAGTAACCGGTAAAAGGAAAGTTTTCAGGTTGTCCAGAGATATTTTTTCACAAAATTTTAGCATCAAATTATATACCACTAGCACATATTACCACATACTAGAATAAATATACCACTAGCACATATCACGCAAACTCGCCTATTATACGCCAGTTGGAGTATGGATTTGTTACTAAAAATAACCCAAATCGCTTTAACAGTAATTTTTGCAAGATATTATAAAAAAGCGCATTAATTTACGACAAGGTAAATAATATTTTGCTAAAAGATGTTTACTGAAAGTGCTGGCTACTTAGAAACTTGATGTAACTTTACCAGAAGTATTGCATCTATATTTGGTACTTTCCCACATGCAAATAAAGTTTATTTTTGCATTTGTATTATGTTTCATGACTGAATAAATGCGACTTGGACAAACAATTTGAAAAAGTTAAGATTAAAGTGATTTTGGCTATTTTTAGTAACAAATCCATACCCCTATTAGCGTATAATAGGTGAGTATGCATATGATACGCAAGTTAATGGGTTTCCCCGACCTGCATATTACCACATATACTAGAATAAATACACTAAAAAGAATTAAATCAAGTATAAGATAATCTTGATTTTAAATAAATCTTGTAACAGTAGTATTGTGTATTTTTTGTATCCCAAAAATTGAGTCCACTACTAGCTCCTGGTTTATGTTAAAAATACTTGTGAATAAATTACACTAAATTGAAAACATACAGATCTGTGTACAAAAATTATTGATCTTATATGATAGGATCTACTCTGAAATACGTTTAGAAATTAAAAAAAGATGGAGGACAAGTTGTATTGCACTGTACATGTGTTTACAGTTCTAGTTAACTGTATACTGAAAGTGGTGGTTTGTGACTGAGCCATCGCACTACAAAGTCATAGCAACCAGTCTCTGGTGCCTTCTGATGGTAAACACATTAACTGTAGAATATATTACAGTGTTCACTGATCTGTTTCTATATATGTAGTTTTTAGGGTCTCCTGTGGAGCGAAGGTGTCAGGACATACAAAATATATGCGAGTCAATCCGCACATGCAGTAACTGGGGAAAAAAATGCTTGATTCTCGTGGAACTTCCTATAAATACTTCTCCAACGCTAGCAGATGTCTTACATTATTGCATCAAAAGTGGTCTCCAATAAAAACAATTTCATAATTCAGTCTCTTGAAGTAGCGTTTTGCTTTTTGGAAAAACTTCCATTATCCGTTAAATGTGATTTTGGGCAAGATCCAAAATTCAGAATATAAATTATTGCCAGTGCATGGTAATCTTGTTAATTGATATAATTTGCACCTAAATTTCCACGCAACAGTTTTGTAGATAGACTTTTAAAGGAGTACTATGATTTGAGTCAGATCTGAAATTCAATATGGCTACCAGTAGCCATCTTGGAATTAAGCAACTGAAGGAATGCTATGATTGCACGAAACTTCCAGTAAATACTA